ATATATATTAGTCTTTATAAACATGACTTTCAGGTTTAAAATATTTTCTCTATTCAGCTGATGAGGAGGCCCCTGATTATGGTTCTGGAGTTAGACAGTCAGGAACYGCCAAGATCTCCTTTGAAGACAACCAGTTCGAGAAGGTACTTGTGATGAAAGATCCCTCTGGCTGCCTTTTAAAATTGTCTTTCGGATCAAATGAAACACRTTTTGTTTGCTCATGAATGTTGAYGCTCTGTTTTAGTTCCAGTCTGAGTCGTGTCCCGGCGGCTTGTCGCACTCCAGCACCTCCCAGGAGGAACTGAGGATCGTCGAGGGGGAAGGACAAAATGTTGAGATGGGAATCTCAGCAGATGAAGTGAACAACAACACCTGTGAAGGTAAGGAACATCTGTGCAGAGACCTGTTAGACCGCACTGAATGTGAAATATTAAATGAAACAAGAAACTTGAAAATCTTTAGTAGAGTATAATATTTTTAATATAACATCCTGTAGGCATGAATAAAAGCTCAAAGTTGGTCCGTTTCTGCCTCCGTGTCTTGCAGCCACCCTGGATGCTCCTCACAGCCCAGTGAAGAGTTTAGGTCTGGGTCTGGACCTGCCTCTGGAGCTGTCTCCGGAAAAATCTCTGTCCCACCTGAAGATCGGCAGCACCTTCACCTTCAGGGTCACCGTCTTACAGGCCTCCAGCATCTCAGCAGAATACGCCGACATCTTCTGCCAGTTCAAGTGAGTTTAAAAGACATTAAGTTCCACTCCTACAAATACGACTTCCTTCTGTTAAATTGTGTTTTCTTAATATTGTAATTAAGGATTCCTAATTTAACTGGCATTATTTTTCAAAGTGAGATGTTTTGCATCATTTCTTCCAGCTTCATCCACCGTCATGATGAAGCCTTTTCCACTGAGCCGCTAAAAAACACTGGCAGAGGACCGCCCCTGGGCTTCTACCACGTCCAGAATGTAAAGATAGTAAAATGTTATTATTAATAAATATGCCTTTTTKTCTTGTCCTCACAAAAATATGAAGCTTTTCTTACTGGGTTGAATAATATTTTCTCTCTGTTAGATCACGGTGGAGGTGACCAAGTCGTTTCTGGAGTACATCAAGACTCAGCCCATCGTCTTTGAGGTGTTTGGACACTATCAGAAACAGCCCTTCCCTCCACTATGCAAAGATTTGATCAGGTCAGGAAGAACTGTCAAAACACTGATTACAAATGATCATTTTACAAATGTGAATGAAARGTTTTCATTTTATATCTGATTTGACATTTTGATTTCTTTCAGTCCACTGAGACCCTCCAGGAGACAGTTTCCTCGGGTCATGCCGTTATCAAAACCGGGTAGGCAATAATGCCCTTTGAATAACTATTACATAACACTTTTTGTACTTTACAGACCAAAATCAATTAATCCCTGAATTTTTAAAAACCAAAATCAAACATCATAATTCTTAGTGGATTTTACTTCAAACATCTGAATTAAAATCCACTAAGAATTATGATTTTATGTAAGAGTTTGTCTCATTTACTAACCATGAATATAAGAGTGTGTGTTTTGATCTCTTGGTTCAACGGTTACAAAGAAGATAATCAATAAGGTTAAGAGGAGCACGTTTTGTTCTTGAAGAACTGCCAGAATAGATTAACCAATAATCTATAATCTTAAAATAGTCTCGTTAAAGCTGGTCATTACTATGAAACAAAATGATAAAGACCACCAGTCTAAAAAATCATATTCTTTCAGATGGAACAGCACTGTTTGTTGCAGTTTATTTTATTAAAAGTAGATGTTTTCTTTTTTCAGTGCCGGCCACCAAGCTCAGCACGCTGACTCGCTCCACCGCAGGACCGTGTCACGCCAAATACGACCTCATGGTCTTCTTTGAGATCTGTGAGCTAGAAGCTAACGGAGAGTGAGTGCCAGCATAAAAAAACACCTTTAAATCCTATCAGTAAAAATAACAGTGTTCAGATGTTGATGTTTTGTTTGTTTCCAGCTACATTCCAGCAGTGGTTGACCACAGAGGTGGGATGCCTTGCCACGGGACGTTCCTCTTACATCAGGTCTGACCTATAGTTCAGCATCATCCAGTGACCCGTGTTTCTGAGCGTATTTTCACTATTCCTCTTCCTCCTGTCCTCACCTGCACAGGGCATTCAGAGGAGGATCAGAGTTACCATCGCTCATGAAGCAGGAAATGATATCGAGTGGAAGGAGGTGAAGGAGCTGGTAATTGGTAAGAAACGTCTCGGGGCGAGTTAGCTGAATAAAATCAGATAGGAGATGTAAAGTAAAACCAACGCATCTCATCCCAAATCCTCCACAGGTCGTATCCGAAGCACTCCGGAGGCTGAYGAGACCATCATAGACCCCAACATCCTCTCCCTCAACATCCTGTCCTCCGGATACCTTTGGCCAAAACACGACGACAAGTACGAAATATTACTTTTAYAGTCTGACTTGTCCCAGCTGCAGTTAATTAGTTTTTAATTTGTCTCCTGTTTCTCTTTATCGCAGTGTGTCGTTGGGAGTCGATCACAGGTACGATGCAGTTTTAGTTTCAGAAGTTTTGATTTTGAAACAAGATCTTTCCAAGCTATTTAAGCCTCTTTTTTTTTCCTCATAAAACTTAAATTTGTTTCGCTCATTGTAGAAGCTTTTATCGGTTTGAAGCGGCCTGGGACAGCTCCATGCACAACTCTCTCCTCCTGAACAGAGTCACCCCGTATGGAGAGAAGATCTACATCACTCTCTCCACTTATCTGGAGGTAAATAGAAAAGAAAGCAGACATTAATGGGGTGTTTTTTTTTTGTTTACTCATAACTCCATGGAAGCCTTTCAGAAGGCTTTAAAAAGGTTTTAAAAGTCTGACCAAGTTCACCTTTTTTTTAGATTTTTATTTTGCATTCACAGATGAAAAAGGTTTTAAGCCAACAAAGGTTGTTCTTACGATGCTTTTTCTCTTTTCTTTATTAAATAAAAGCAAACCATTTTCATTGTTGTTGAGGCAGAAAAGACAAGTGGAAAAAAAATTTATTTTCTTAACTTGACTATAAATTTATTTTACCTTGACTTACTTATTTGTGGACGTAAAAATATAAAGAAAGAATTAATGTGAAAACNCTTTTTGTATTGTTTTTTTTTTTTTGACAATTTAACAAATTCAGCCTTTTTCATTGAAGAACGGCAAGGTGAATAAAACTGGACATGGCTGAACATGTTATAAACAGTTACTCATAAATATTTTTATGTTTATTTTTTTTAGAAATTTGATTTTTTTTGAGCGATTATTGATTCAAAATGTCACGAGAAGAAGTAGATTTGGTTTCATTTAGAAACCATGTCCAAAAAGTTAAAAAAAGAACTCTTTTTCTGGGTTTTAGTGTAATTCTGTCTGGATTTAGGTGTTTTTTTACCTCCCTAACATGAACAACTTATAACAGAAACAGTTTCCGTAAGTTTTGTAGCATTTTATCATGAAGTAATTTTAAGTTTTATTATTTTAGGCTCCCAGCAGTAATGAGATATTTCCCGCTTGTGAGTGGTTTACCATTTTTTGTATTATAACCAGATGGAAAACTGCACTCAGCCGACGGTTATCACCAAAGATTTCTGCATGGTGTTTTACTCTCGTGACACGAAGCTTCCAGCCTCTCGCTCCATCAGAAACTTCTTCAGCACCGGCTGCCTCAGACCATCAGAGAGGTACGCTGCTGCCATCAATTACCTTCTTTTCAAGTTGACATCTTTCCTGAATTCACCTCCTGTTTTCTTTTTTTTTTTTTTCAGCAACCGTGTCACTGGAGTTTACGAAATCACTCTCTGCCACGTGGCAGACAAYGGAAGCCCAGGTGATTTAAACCTGCAAGAAAGCATTAAAACATATTTCTTAAACTGCTTTTTTGTTCGGATGGACTGAAAGCACGGCCCGTTTCTTCTCTCCGTTCTGCCAGGCATGCAGCGCCGTCGCAGGCGCGTGCTCGACACCTCCGTGGCGTACGTGCGGGGAGAGGAGAACCTGGCGGGGTGGAGGCCTCGCAGCGACAGCCTCATCCTCGACCACCAGTGGGAGCTGGAGAAGCTCAGCTTACTGCAGGAGGTCTGTTTAACACGGGGAGGAGGAGAAATCCAAACCACAAATGAAAGGAAACAAGCAAATATAATAAATTGAACAAAAGTTTTCTGAAATAAAATAAATGATAACAGCAGTTACAACTCATTTGTGTTGGATTTAGTTAGAAAAATGAACCCAGTAAAGCTTTATTTATAGTCAATGCAAAGGGCCGGTCCTTAAAGATAGCTTTAAATGAAGTCTTTAACTCTTTTTTATGTTTTCCTTTAACACTATCCTTTATTAAAATAAGTGCAGAATAACACTACTATTATTAAAAGAAAAGGCAAAGACAATGATTGGGGTTGTTARCGTATGTTTTGAAAGAATTCACCTCAATGTTTGTAGAGGAGCCAGTTTCTTTAGGGCCTGAATGAAAGCTCGTTTAATCCGGTAAATGTGACCCCTTTCCAATAAAATGAGCTTCTGTTTTGTCTGTTTGCTTTAAGGTGGAGAAGACCAGACACTACCTGCTGCTGAGAGAAAAGCTGGAAGCTACTCTGCAGGCGGGACAGGAGGCCCTTTACAAAAGCGGCGACATCAGCGACTTTGCAAAGAGCCCCGTCCTCGGCCACAGTCCGGGCAGCAACCCCCCCACCCCCGACAGCCCCAACCAGAGGCAGAGGGAGCTGGCTGCTAAGGTGACTGCTGGGGTCCTTGCTTTAATTTGGGTTCTAGTTTATGTTTTTTTTATAGCTAATTTAATTCATGGTATTAAAATAAAAAAAATAACAAAAACCACGCTGTCTTTTCCTCCCTCTGTGCTTCGTCGCAGTGTCTGCGTCTGCTGATGCACACCTTCAACAGAGAGTACAGCCAGGTGAGCAGCAGTGCCAGTGAAAGCAAGGTGAGCCCCAGCCTAGGCCCCTTTAAACTGACCTGTCAAATCCTTCACCACCTCACAGCTMCAGCTTTAACACGACTAAACATCTAAGCCTCATATTTCTCCTTTACAATAACCACTTCCTACTCGCTACTTAATCTTTCATCTGTCACTTTATCTTAGTTAATTCCAGTTATAGTTGTTTTACCAGCTTTGCTTTTAAATATCCAAAAAGCCATTAATCTAAGAGTTCCTTACTCCCTCCCTGACCTCCCCTAATATTTTCACAGTATTTGGTTTTATAAAATGCAACTTAATGAGGGGCTCTTAGACACACTGAGGATTTTTGTCACAGTGGTGTTTCTGCAGTACATTTCAGGAAAATGACACAGATCTGATTGACTTGTTCTCTGAACGCGTGTCTGTGTCGTCCACGTTTAACTGTCTGCTGGTTTGTTTTGTCTGTTTCTGTGTTGGGTCTCGTTTTTGTTGGGCTTCCTTGTTTTGTTTTTTGGTGCGTGTGTGTGTGTGTGTGTGGGTGTGTGTTTTAGCTCTCTGAAATGTCAGCTTCACTCATGAGGGAATCATCTTCTGATCTGAGCACACTCACTCCCTCCTCCACCTGCCCCTCGCTCATCGACGGACATTACGACTTTCGGTGAGGAACTATTTTTATGCTTCTTGTTGTCAGGCGGAYGATTCACAACAGTTTTACGTTAGGAAGGTTGATAGAGTTTGTGAAGAAGTGTACATAAAGAAATGTGTTCGTTTAATCATTTCTAATATATTTACTGGTTGTTACATCATATAGTCATGTTGTTTGTTTTTTTTCTTGTTGTTTCTTGTAGACTTGCTGATCCCAGTTCAGGAGCTTCCACACCGGACTTGGACCCATTTAGCCCAGTGGACAGAAAGAAAGCTCTCAGAGGATACACCTTTGTGCCCGACATCCAGGAGATCCGTGTCAGGTCAGACCACGCGTATTTGATTCACGGTGAAACGTGTTGATGGTTTACTTGTTTAAGARCCAAATACATTGTATAAGGGGAAGAAATGCACATTTATAACAAGTTCTGGATACATTTGACTGATTTTTGTTCAAACACCAGAGAACATGACATCTACAGTTTCCTGTGGATTTTTGTTTTGTCAAACTATTTCTGCACACTTTAAACTATTTTAATCATTTCTACGGGGTGAGTCAAAAGTCACAAGACAGCCATTCCGAAAATAAAAGTGAAAATGACAGATCTGAGTTCTAGAACATGGCCGCCATTTTGAAATCAGCCATATTGGATCAAAATAAGAGAGTGTCCTGTGGCTTTTGACTCACATTGTATATTAAAATGTTTGACTTAATTGGGAATAATCTGGTTTGACTTTTAATGTTTGTCAATTTTAAATTTTTTCAACAGCTTAATTTTATTTACCTAAATTTTCCACATAGAAACACATTGAGATTTCCTCAGTTTCTTGAAAAACCTTTAAAGTCTACATCTAATTTTGTCTTTCTGGGCTCCTTTTAGCCTTGAGTTAATTTGCTCAATTTAGGTTTTAGCAATGGCTTTGCTGACTTTAGCGTTTAGCTATACTGTTTTGTTAAGTTTAGCTTTTAGCTACAGTATTTGCTCCTGCAGATTATTTTATCTTTGTTTTAACTTTCAAACTACAACAAAGTCCTTCAGCACTCATCTTTCATTGGGACAAAAAGCAATTTCTTTAGTTTAAACTGTTTTAAATATATATWTTGGAGATGCTACAAATAGTTTTCTATGTGAAACTTGTTAATAAAACAAATAAAATAAATCTAATATAATTTGTTCAATCATCTACAAGGTGGTTTTCTGCAAAGATTTTAACATTTATTTCCTTCCTGAGAATCTTCTTTATTGTTTCTTAAAATATTATTTTGTTTCATTATATATTCAGCCCCATTGTGTCGAAGAAAGGCTACCTGCACTTCCTGGAGCCCCACACCAGCGGCTGGGTGAGGCGCTTCGTTGTGGTCCGCAGGCCCTACGTCTACCTGTACCGCAGCGAGAGGGAATGCGTGGAGCGAGCCATCATCAACCTGTCGTCCGCTAAGGTGGAGTACAGCGAAGACAAACAGACTTTACTGCGGGTACGTGAGGGGGAACACACACCATAGATGTCAAACGACAGAGTGAACTTTCGTAACGTCTGCGTGTTTCATGTTCCCAGACCCCCAACACATTTGCTGTGTGCACCGAGCACCGAGGGATCCTGCTGCAGGCCACCAATGACAAGGAGATGCACGACTGGCTGTATGCTTTTAACCCTCTGTTAGCTGGCACCATCAGGTCCGTGGACAAAACAAAACATAAAACACAAAGTTTTCTTTCAAAAAACAAACTCAAACTTATGAGAATTTAAACTTTTTCCTGGAGAGGTTAAAAATTGCTGAGCTCCTTTTGGATTTGAAGAGTCCTAAAGAGAAACTCTTCTTTGATGAGTCATAACCAGTAAAGCAAAAATGTAACTACCGTATTTATTCAAGTATAAAACGTATAAAATCATCCATAAAGTTGGGGGGTAGTACTATACTCGGATAAATATTTTTACTTATGTATTTTAACTGAAATATCAGCTTCATTCACAAAATGCCTGAGTCCGGAAATGAGACCGCGTCGTAAAAGCAGTTGAAACGAGCTCACCTCTGACACTCCTCCGTGCTTCAGAGTGAGATAGTAACAGATCCAGGCAGGCGACATGATGTGAAAAAAAGTGGGGGAAGTATTCCTGCACCTCAGTAATGATAGCGAACAAATGACATTAGCGTGTGGCCGGGCCGCTCCTCAAACAACAACAAACACATGTTCGTCTGTAATGGCTTCCGTCTACCGGTGTTCTGAAAAAGTTTGTATCCCTGAAAAAAGTTTCCCCACCAGAGGGGGCGGTCACGAGTAGGAAGTAATCTGCTTCCCCCAACAAGATGGCCCAAATCTCATGTGAAGTCTCTGACTTTTGTGTTGGCGCATCCTGGTGGACTATGTGTAAAATGCCAGAATTCATATGATGCTGCTACAGCTGATATATATTTGTTGTCAAAATATCTTTTAGTACATATGTTGTTAAAATAAAATGAACAGTCCAATGATCATTTTACTGATATGTATAAAGACTGCAAAGGCTGAAAAATCTTGAAGTCTGTATGAAAATGGAGGTAGTTTGAGGATTACATTTTTTATGCTTTTTAATCTCAAAATAAGGGAGGGGGTCGTATTATACATGAGATGGTATTATACATGAATAAATATGGTAAATGGATTTTCCATCTGGTATTGAAAACAGCTTCCCTTAAAGTAGCAAATATGATTATATAAATATGTTTAAATACATTTTTGCTCAAAACCATGTAATTTGTTGGTGTTTCAAAACATTTATTAGCATAATGTTTATGACATTTCTTTCAAGACACCTATAAATAAGGTACTTAATAATCATATTTTGACATAATGATAATTTTTCAACCAATACACTATGGTTACGTATATCTCAACATACCACTTTGCAACATAATCCTCAGGTTGTTGAGATGGGTCACAAATGTTTAAAGAAATATGTAATGTAGGAGCTTCGGGTTTGAAACCTCTAACTTAAGGAAATTTCCCAACCACCATCAGTGTACAAAACTATTAAATATCTTGAATGTGAAATCATTTTAATTCTCTAATGGTATTTGTTGCATTTAAACACTACATGGTAAAATATATGTATTATTAGGAAAAGCAACACGTGCCTTCATAATAACTCAACTTCAACACGTTTTCCTGTAATTTGTATGAAATTACAAACTTTAAACAAGAAAAAAAACTAGGATTTTTATCAGAGAAAGCGTGATAAATCTGTAAAAATAAAAAAAAGTTATTTACTGCATACATTATTTTCACAAAAGCCTTTTTTTCTGCTCTCAGATCCAAACTGTCCAGGAGAAAGTCGCTGCAGTCGGTGCCGTCTGCTCAGCGGATGTGAGAGGTGATCCGGCCTTCTGGGGGAAACAGCAAAGAAACAAACATACAATCTACAAACTCAACTTAGCATCTTGCTCCAATAAAAAAAACACAACATATAGCAAACATATCCTCTGATACAGAGACGGATTCTCGTCCCAAAAACAACTTAATACTCATTTCCAACCCATCCTGTATGAGTTTGTGTAGTCACATCCTCAGACTTTGCATGATGTGCTCCCTTTTGACCTTTAGATGAATTTGTAAGAGAAAAAACAACAACTACAGAAACCTGTTAATTAATCTCTTTCAGCTGGACGTTGGGACTTGTTCGGATTAGTTTAAATGTTCAAGTAGGGATTTGTTTTCTGTGAGGCTTCCAGTTCCTTGTAAAAAGATAGAATGAGACCTTGTTTATCAATTATTACAAAAAAAGTCCTGGTAGAAATACAAACATTAACTGTGTCGTTACATCAGAAAGGCGAAGGAAATCAACATTAAACTACATCTTTTTTCTATGTAGACGGTTGGAGGGATGATAGATCCTTATACAGTAGATACACCATACATTAACTGTAAAATACCTCAGTTTGGATTGGTTCAATGCTGTTTCATGGCAGATATTTCAGATAGCAAAGAATGGGGAAAAAAGCTTTTGGGGATCTTTTTAACTTTAAAGTAGCATGAGAAGGTATTTGTTCAGATTAAATGATGTTATTCTCATGTTGTTTCTTCAAGCGGTGTCATGAAAACTGGATTCATTGGCTCGACTAAGGCAAACTAATTCACTATGAGGAGAGACAGCTTTCGTCCTTGCCTTCCTTGTTTGATTTAAGTTTTCAGACATTTTAGTAATAATCAGAATGGAGAAGAAAAATGTCATTATAGCTATTGTTAGTTTGCTGCACTGTTATTTATTGTGACAAGACCACTGATAGTTTTGTTGCATGGCACTTTAATGTCTTTTTTTTGTATTGTACTGTTTTATTTTTTTAATTTTAACCAAAGCAATGTTGTTTTTTTTATTTTAGTAGTTGTATTTTATCATGTAATTGTGTCAACAGGTAGCTTTTTTTTACGATGCACTTCTTGGTTTGAAAAGTTCACCTTTTCTCTAAAGTCAGATGAAAAGGTTAATTACTGATTGGTAGGAATCTGAAGTCAGGAGATGATTTTTATTTTATTTTATAGACCATATAGCATATRATTAACCATCAATGTATGAGGAAATACTGAAATAAGTTATGATTGTGTGCAGAGGGAGTAGGCAGGACTTAAAGCCCCACATTCCAGAGATCCAACATGGCCGCTCCTATAAACTGCTGGCTTCAGTAAAAAAAAAACTGAAAAAAGAAAAAACAAGGGAAGGCACCACCATCTTGTTTAGTATTTTCCTAATATATCAATGATTCAGACTGGTTCCAAATGGACCTTCCGTCATTTGTGTTGTTCAGCAGCAAACACCATTTATTTAAGAAATAAATGTTTGAAGAGCGTGCCCAATTTAGCCTCTATGCTAAGCTAATTATCTCATTACTGCAGCCTAACCTTTATTAAACTGAACAAAAAGGGCGTCATGAACAATGCCGACAGCTTCTCTACTACCCCCCCCCCACCCCAAAAAAAGGTAAAAACAAGAACAAAATCTCCGTGTAAGTTTATTATAAAAAAAAGCACTTTTTTAATTACGTCTTCTTGTATCATGAGCCAACGGAGCCGCTCCAGTGAACCGGACCATTTTAAAACTCTTGTAGCAATTAAGAAAGGACAAACGTTTAATTAAACACGGACCTATAGGTTGGGTCAAGGGCAGTGGCTTTGAGCAGACAAGAGCGTTGTCCTTTCGCCAGTTAGTGCCTCCCTTTCTTCTTTTTTCCATTCTTTTTTAAAATAATGAATTTATAAGTGTCCCAAATTAGGCTTTCATGTATAGGAATGTTAGATAAATATAATAAACTATAGTTGTTATCTTTATGTCAAAACTTTAGAGTGCATTTTATCAATAATCTTTATCGTTTTATTACAGCTCGTCAGCCATCGATGTTGCTTTTATCTGCAATTTTCAGCTTAGCTTTTCTTTCTGAGCTGCTTATTATTAGATTAACCCATGTATGGCTACACTTATGTGATTTTCACGATATTAGTGCTTTTAATTGTCTGCATTGTGCTAAAATTACCCAAAATATTTCTTGCATTATTTCAGTAAAATATTAAATTAAGTGGAGAAAGGAGACATGTTAGTAAAACAGGCCCTCGCTTTTCATTGATTATGAGTTTCGGGTTATTTCTGTGTAAAAACAAAAGGCCTGGTTAGCCAGCCAGTCTGCCTTTTTACTTCATGATTTTTTTTTCATGACCACATTGAAGTAAAACTTATAAATAAAATTTAAACAAAGATTTCATGGCTGTTTGCCACAGGCCAGCCAACCTGTTGAGCAGATCGTTGTGATGCTCTGAAGTTTTATGGTAAAGTTTTGTTTCTCTGGTCATATTTTCCTTTTTACTCCACAGTTACTGTCTTTAAGCAAAGATTTATTTATTTATTTATTTATTTATTTATTTATTTATTTATTTATTTATTTATTTATTTATTTATTTATTTATTTATTTATTTATTTATTTATTTATTTATTTTTGAATATTTGTATGTTGTACTGTAAACTGGGAGACGAGATGAATGGAAAGATGTATTTATTAATATTAGAAGAATCTGTTCTGTAACTGTGTTGCACTTTCGCCAAAGCATTTGTTATTTATTTTATTATGATTTTGTCATGTTTTTGAGATATTTGCATAAAAAAGATGATTTGTTTAAAATATATTAGGATCCTGCTTTTAGGAAGATGAGGATTAACACCTTTTTTTAACCTTTATTTTGCAAATGGCAGATGACTTGTGATGCTTCCAGCCCAAAACAGTCAAAGGATTTCATTTGAAAAAAAAAAATTGCTGGGACAGTTTTGAATCAGCTTTAGTGTGCAGGCGGTGATTTGTTAAATGTTCTGAGAGTTGTTTAATAAGTGTCATAGCTATATGGATCAAAGCATGCAGGTCCACCATTTTTCTGCAGAACCTTGTCTTTCTCTCCTGCCTTACAGCTCGCTAATGACAACAGCTTTCCACTCCCAAAGTGCTGCCTGTAAAGTATTGTCACTCATGATCCTTGTAATGATTACCCCCTCAAAAAAAAAAAAAACCCTTCCTCTTGGCTCTGTCGTGTATATAAATGAAGATTTCTGTGTTGGGTCTCATACAGACGATATAACTCTCTTTTCCTCTGTGTACCAAGATTACAACTGACCCGCTGCTTTGTCAAGTGTCACTGAAGAGTAAAGAATGCTGATTCTTTTGTGTGTKTTTTTTACTTTTTAATTTTTTTAAATTTAATTTTATTTTATTTTTGCACGTTCGCTCACTTTAGGATCAGGTTGCCCGTGTTAAATCTGAGGAAAGGTCTTGCGCTCTTGTTCGGAGTTGCTCGACAGAAGCGGGTCTCAGCCTGTGACAAAAAGAAAAGTCCTAATCTCAGTGCTCGCGCGTTTWTCTTTTGAGTGTTCTGGAGTTCTTTTTCATGTCTGTGGACACATAACAAAGAGTTGTCAAGAAAAAAAATCTAATAAAAAAATCAAACAAAAGGCAAATAAAT